ATCTCAGCAGCTCCGACCTCTGTGGACAGCAAGGCGACCTCTGTGGTGCTCTCCTCAATCTGCTGAGACCAGTATTTGTCAAGCTCCTCTGGGTTCTTCTGAGTCAGCTCATTGTATTGCTCCCAGATGTCTGCCATGATCTCAGTGAGGTCCTGAGATTTTGAGCATCTACCTGCATGATCAATCCCGAGCTGGCAATCTGGGCTTGTAAGCCTTTTAATTCCTCTTCATGGTTCTTCATGAAGAGCAGCTCCTTCTTGAGAGCTTCAATCTCTGTCTCTATCTGCAGCCGAGTGACACTGGTGTCACCAATGACCTTGTGGAACCCATAGATGTTGCTCTCCACAGACTGGTGCATGGCCAGCTCTGTCTCATACTTGACTCTAAAGTCATCAGCCATGAGATGAGCATTGTCTATCTTCAGAACAACACAGGCATCGTCCACAGTATTTCCGAAGATCTGAGCCCTCAGGTGGTCTTGAAGTAATAGCTCCAGTCTGACCTGGGGTCCCTTCTTCTCCAGGTGCTCCCCGATTTTGCTCTCCAGCCTCTGGTTCTCGGTCTCCAGGCTCCTCACTCTGTCCAGGTAGGAAGCCAGGCAGTCATTCAGGCTTTAGATGATCTCCTTCTCGTTCTGGATGTGTCTCATTCCTGCCAGACCCTTGGCCATCCCCGGGGCTAGGCCCCCAGACCCCAAGCCACCCTGGAAGCTGGTGGAGCAGAACACAGAGATGGGGGAACCTGAGCGCCCAGTGCCTGCATACCAGCACTGCTGACCAGCTGGGCACAGTAGATGGGCAGCTGGACACAGCCCAGGGACCAGTAGTTGGTGGAGAAGGTGGAGCGAGCGGTGTAGCTCCCCATGTCTGGGGAGGAGAGCGAGAGGACAGGACTCAGGCTTTGCTGATGACCACTTTAACATGTAATCAGCATTTTAAAGTGTGAAATAGCTATTTTGTATTCTTCACTCTTCTTTTTGTACTAAGTCTTCAAAATCAGATGTGCACTTTACTCTTACAGCATATTGTAATTTGGACTGGCCCTATCTCAAGAGCTCAATAGCCACATATGGCTATTAACAACTGTATTTAACAGCAGAGGTCTAGAGTTATGGGAGATTATGGGAAACTAAACACTCCTCCTTTTATTTTCCTTAGGATATAACTTTAATCTTGGTATGGGTCACATGGCACCATGACTCTTGAGTTGGATTGGATTCAGGAACTTCTTTATTTGGTTCAATTTCTGGGTCAGCTCAAAATTACGGTTTTCATTTTCTTTTTCAATACTACCCATCAAGGTTCCTTTAGAGTTTTCTTTTATTATGTTTTTAATTGACAGATTAAATTTCACGTGTTTACTGTGTATAACATGCTGTTTTATAGTATATATGTAGTGTGGAATAGTTAACTATAGGTAATTAGCATAAGCACTACCTGACATGGCAATCTTTTTATAGTGAGAACACCACTCAACATTCACTGTCTTTTCTTTTTCAAGAATACAATGTCATCACTATAGTCACCATGCTGTGCAATAGATACCTTGAACAGCCTCCTCTAATCTAAATGTAATTATTTACTTTTTGACCAACATCTCTCAATCCCTCCCTCCCACGTAACTATCCAGACTCTGGTAACCACCATTCTACCCTCCACTTCTATACACTTTATAGAAAACTTTTTCATATTCTTCATATGAATGAGATCACGTGATATTTGTCTTTCTGTCTTAATATTTCACTTAATATAATGTCCTCCAGGCTCATGCATACTGTCACACATGACAGGATTTTGTTTCCTTTTGTAGCTGAAATTTAAATGTCAAAGAGATCTCTATATTCCCATGTTTATTGCAGCACTATTCGCAATAGTAAGATATGGAATCAACCTAATGTTATCAACAGATGAATGGGGAAAGAAAATTTGGTACATATATATATATATATATATATATACATATATGTGATACCTGTACCAAATATTTTGTGGCTGAATAGTATAGCAACAAAAATCCTTCAGAGATTTCTTAGTAGACTGGTCTTTTGGATTTCAGAATGGGAAGACCTCATTAAGGACAGAGATGATCAACAAATCCAAAGTTCCTAGGTTAGGTTCACACAGAATCTCTACCAGAGATTAGGACTTTCCAGCAACCTGCAGCCCAATCTCTTCGTCTTAGAGTAGCTATTACTCTTCCCCTCCTCCTACCTCAAATCAGTGAAGTTTTTTTTTTTAGAACCAATGTCACTATTCAGTAAAGAGCTCCAGAATTTCTAGATACTTCCAAATATGGTAATAGGAGGACCATTCTTTCATATAAGATGTATTTAAAAACTAGAACTAGATGTTGTTAACAAAGGATGACAAAAGGTAGAACTGGAATTAGAAAACAACTACAGCTTCACATGTACATCCAAATAAAAGCCTATTTATTCTGTTAGTCAGAATAAACAAACTTACCCGTGGCCAGATTCCAAAGAAATAAATCCATTTCTCCGAAGGCATGGGATTTGTTTCCAGTCGATTACTATGCTCCTTTTGCTGGGTCAATGAACAAAAGATAAAAAATTGACCTCATCCCCAGTCTGAAGTTTTCTGAGGAGTATAGTGGTTTGAGCAATGGGAAAGGTTTTCTGTCCCAGACAGAGCAGCAGGAAAAAGCACTGGGAGGCAAGGCAGGATGCAACCAGAAGCCCAGGAGGGAGAAATCAAGGCAGCTGAGATTAATGGCCTTATCTTTTCTGGTGCTTCCATGGCAACCTTCTATAGTTGATAACATAAACTCACTGAGTCTCCTGGTCTACAGCTATACCAGACAATAATGAAGGTATAGATTTAATTCAAGAAACTTCACTTTGGAAATCTCAGATTTGTCTAAATGGGTAGCATATAGCTCACATAAAAAAAAAAAAAAAAAAAAAACTTTGCCCCCATAGGAAAGCAGGGATACAGCAAATTTGGGGATATTGGCAGCATCTGATTCTTCAACCACAGACCTGCTGCATTTCTACCAGAAGCATTACTCCTTCCTGCTTATATGGAACACCTGGGTCCCTACATTACTCTCATTCTTCTCATAATTTTCCCGGTTCCAAAGCAGAACCAGCAGCTCAAGGATGCTGTACTGTAACTGCTCTTTGTGACTGTTTAATGCACCATCTGACCCACCCCTCTGAGGCTCCAGAAGCTGTTTTCCTGTCCTAAGCTCTACCCTGCCACTTCCCTCCCCATAGCCAACAGGGGCTATGGCCGTTTTAGGCATCTGAACCTAGAACATAGGCCTATTTTTCAGGGGGGCATAGGCAGAAAACACAGAATATAAAGTCCAATATTGGGATAGTGGCGAACAGGAAGAAATTTAAGAAAACATCAGGAAGACTTGAGGCATTATACATAAAAAGTAAATATATTTGAAAAACAAATATTTCTAGATTGGAACAGAGAGAACTTCATTTCAGATTAGGAAAATTATGCTTAAATAAGAATTATGTAGTATCCTTAAATCAGGGTCATTATATTATAGCCAGTGTATAAAAATGGGCTACGAACCATAACATATTACAGACATATTATTTCCCCTGTGACCTATATCACAGTGGTTTCAAAATTGGAATGGGCAAGTGGAATATTTGTTGTTAGTAATAAGAGCATGAAAATCTGACTCACCCACTAGACGGGTATAAGATTTGTCCAAATATGTGTGTGAATGAAGGGAAAATGCCTTGGAAACCTCTTGGTACCAGCAATAGGAGTGAGGAAACTGGAGAGGATACTGAGACATAATTCTCTCTCTCACCTCACAAGTCTGGGCTCCAGGAATGAGACATCCTCCAGGGGATGACAATTGTGTTGCAGACAACATCGCGTGACTAGGTGAGATTTTACCTAGTCACTTTGAACTTCTCTCTCTGTCTTCCAAAGGAAACCTTGGGTTAGGTATCAGCCTCGCCTCATTTGGCCAAGCTAGGACTGACCATAAATAATGCCTGGGGATAGAGATGGTTTCATTACACACTTCCTATTGCCCATCCAACCCTACCACCTCTTCCTGGAGAAAATAAAAGAGCCAAGGGAGACTCCTGCTACAGTCTGATTTATGTATTTTCTGTGTGCCCGAACCAAAGGACTTCACTTAGGAAGAGTCTAAATTAGGAAGGATAGTAAAGAAAAGAAAGGGGAAATTATGATAGAAAGGAGAGCAGCATTCAAAAGTGATAACACAAAGGAAAGAGACTATAACTCTTTTCTATTGAAAACACTTCAGATGCATCAAGTAATAACCTAACAGCTTTTCCCAAGTGACACCTGATTTTGAGAGAAGATGCAGAAGTTATTCTACTCCAGGAAAAGAAGTTGGACTAAAATAAGAAGTCAATAGGACAATCTGGAGAAAATATGTAATGCAGCATTTATGGACTCTGTTTATTTCATTTGCTATTTTATAGGTAAACTGAGAGTGAGGATTCTTCATGCTGCTTTGAGCAGGGATTGCAAAACATTCAAGCCTCTGCACACTGTGTGGCTGTGAATCATGAAGATAATTTACCAAGACAGCTGCTTGGACATGGTGAAAACAGATAGCTATTTTATGATTATTGTGTCATGCTCTCTCAAACATACCAGATGGGATTGTTGGTACAATTTGGAGGGGCAAGTGGCATTGGAAGTCCAGTATCCTTAAAGAATGTGAGCACTGGGGTGATATCATAGCCACATATCTTCAATGGCTGTGCCTAAGTGTTTCAGAAGGGATGCTTGTGGAGATCCTCGTGGTGCACCCAGACTGAAGTGGATATAAATAAGCTATGTTCACATAACAGTCTTATGGGGCACCCAGTGGTTCGGAGTTCCTACATGACAACCCTCACATAAGCAAGAGAACTTCTCAAGAAAATAAACTAGTGATGAAAATAACTAGAGGGACAGAGAAGGACTCAAATTCCTTGAATACTTTATACCTCAAGATAAATAAGATGTGCAGTAACGATCAACCTTTTATTCAGAGGGCAGGAAGGGAAGCAGCATGCTTAGGAAAATAACAATAACTCATTCAATGTGTGTGTAATTTAATGTGCATATACTTACTGTACAGAAACTTTTATTAGTTTATTCACTCTTTGAAAAAACAATAAAAAATAAATGAACACCATTTTCAAGGTAATAAAGCCAGAATTTATGAATTCAGCCAAAGTTCACAAAATGTGAGCAAATTTAGCCAAATTATCTTATCTGAGAATAAAATTCCAATTATCCAGAGTGTCTCAATCCTAACAGTCTTCACTGTGTAGAGGTTCATTTTGTGCTGGCTGAAAATAAGACTCTGTGTTAGGTACTATAAGGACACATAATAGTATAAGATTTTATTGTTGTTTCCAAATAGTTATCAAAGAAAATGAGAGATGAAAGATCACTTATAAAATGTTCCACACATTTTGGTCAACACATTTTTATTTTAAATTTATCTGTAAAAGAGAGCATAAAAGTAGCCAGGCAGAATTTTAAAGATGAATAAAATACTCTTAACCTAAAAGATGCTTATGACAATGTCAGAGAAAGAAATACAGCCACACGAGATGCAAGAATAATGATCACAGCTGGGGATCATTACACATTACCTATTACCCTTCCTGAAGAAGGCTTATCTACCACCTCTTACACATCACCTACCACCTCTTCCTGAAGAAAAGAAGAGAGCCCAGGGAGAATCCTGCTACCGTCTGATTTATGTATTGTTTATATGCCTGAACTAAAGGCACTCACTTAGGAAAAGTCTAAATTAGGAAGGATAAAATAAAGGAAAGAGGAAGGAAGATCTTCTGTGGGAGGTGGAATTTGAATTAAACCTGGTAGGAAAGATGAGGTTTGGCAAATGGTGATACTGGATAAAGAAGGCTGATGTGAGAAGCATCAAATGATAGAGGAGAGAGAGCAAAATGAGAATAAGTACTTTTCAGGAAATGATGAGCAATTCGTTCGGGCTACAGTGGCAGAAAAACAAAGTTTAAGATAAGTCTAAAAAGTAGGTTGGGGCTAGAATATAAGAGGTCTGCAATTAAAAATGCTGTAACATAAAATGTTTTAAAACACTGTAGAGTTACTAATTTTAATACAAGTCATTCAGCAAAGATAAGCTTCAGTACAAATGAAAGTAGAATAGTACAGTTGGGACAGTTGTCAAACAATGCTTGGACAAATGATAGACTTGAAATCTTAATTTTCAGCCCCGAAAGAGACAGGTTAAGACTGATTAATATTCCTTGGAGATACTGAACTGTATGGCATCATTAAGAAGGAAATTGCAAAATAGTAGAAAACACTATTCTGTGAAAAACAAACCCTAGAACTTTCATGTCTGGAAAACTTGTTTGCAGCTCTGCCAGCCACAGGGGAGGGAGGCTGCAGCAAACAGCAACAGAGGGAATGAATGGGACCATCCATAGTGCCTAGGTTGGGCAGTTCAAGATGAGATAGGAACAAGGATCAAAACAACATGAAGATGAAGATGATGAAGAAAAGAACATAAAGCACTTCAAACAATACAATTCCTCCCCAACCTAAAAACCCTAAAACATTGTCAACCTCCTTTACAACCCGAAAACTGAAGGAAGCAAATCTAAGTAGAGAGAAATAATAGGAAGTGCTGCCTATTATTTCAGGTGGTACAGACTGAAAATCTTAACTGGCTCTAGGAAGAACTGAGGAGCCAGTGAATAGCACATCTGACTCAGGTGCCATGAGAGAGAGTCGGGGTGTTCAGGACAAAGCACTCAACCCCAAGTTGTTCCAGAGTCAACATCTGTACTTATCCCAAGCAATGTCTTCATGGCACCAAAGCCAGATAGCCATCTGCCAGGCTGAACCAGAAACAGAAAAGGAATCACTGTCATTTGCAAATCAGAAGACAGGCAGATCTTTTTAAAGGCATTATATAAAGTTTATTCTAGTGATCAAACACTTACATTCTAATACAGCTCCATTTGTCAAAGGTTTGGCAAGATTTTTTGTTACAAATCAGATTACAAAAAAATTCCGTGGTAATCATAGAATCCAGGAAAGGTAGATTTCCTTTCAAGCAACAGAAAACAAAGATCCACAAATGAATATGTTCATTGTTAACTGAGACATTGGGAAAAGAAGAATCAGAACTCAAGCCAGGATTTAAAAGTGAAAATTCCAATTTGCCAGTCTGGATATGAAATTCTGGATTGGAAAAATGTGGCACATATACACCATGGAATATTATGCAGCAATCAGAAATGATGAGTTCGTGTCGTTTGTAGGGACATGGATGAATCTGGAAAACATCATCCTCAGCAAACTGACACAAGAACAGAAAATGAAACACCGCATATTCTCACTCATAGGTGGGTGATGAAAAATGAGAACACATGGACACAGAAAGGGGAGTACTAAACACTGAGGTCTATTGGGGGGAAAAGGGGAGGGCCAGTGGGAGGGGGAGGTGGGGAGGGATAGCCTGGGGAGAAATGCCAAATGTGGGTGAAGGGGAGAAGAAAAGCAAAGCACACTGCCATGTGTGTACCTACGCAACTGTCTTGCATGCTCTGCTCATGTACCCCAAAACCTATAATCCAATAAAAAATTAAAAAAAAATTTAAAAAATAAATAAATAAATAAATAAAAGTGAAAATTCCTTTCCAGCATAAAAATAATTCCCTATGTTTCTATTTTTCATTAACAACTCCAAAAGTCGATCTAAACCTTCCTACTCCTACAAACCTCCTCAGCAGGTTTTGGATTCCCTGCTTGATCTCCTTGGTTCTCACACCATAAACAATGGGGTTCAGAGCTGGGGGAATGAGGTGGTGCAAGATGTTGAGCAGGATGGGGATGTCAGGAGGAATTCTCTTCCTGGCCAGGTTCGTGATGACCAGAACCAGCAGCACTGTGCTGAAGAAGAGGATGAGGATGAAGTGGGAACCACAGGTGCTCAAGGCCTTGGTCACAGCACCCTCTGCCTTGATCCTTAGCACAACTTTCAGTATAAAAGAATAGGAGATAAAAATAAGGATAAGGTCGGAGCCCAACAAGGTCCAGCCTGCCACAAACTGGTAGAGCTGATTGAAAGTGATGTCATCACAAGAGAGTCTGGACACAGACAGGTTAGTGCAGATGCAGTTCTTGATTGCGTTTCCTGCACAGTATCTGAGCCTTGCAGAAAGCATGGGAACAGGAAGAGAAACAAAGGCATTTCGGGCTATAACAAAGACCACAGCCCTAGCCACAAACTTGTCAGTGATGATAGATGGGTATCTCAATGGATGGCAGATGGCCACATAGCGGTCATAGGCCATGACCATGAACGTGCAGGACTCCATGGTCAGAAAACTGTTCATGATGAACATCTGGAGGAAGCAGGCAGGGAAGCTGATTGACCTGAGATCAAACCAGAAGATGGCCAGGACCTTGGGGATGACAGTGAGGCAGAGCATGATGTCCAGCAGGGAGAGGAGGCTGAGCAGGTAGTACAGGGGCTGGTGCAGACAGGCCTCCAGCCAGATGGTGATCAGGAGGATGGCGTTGGCCCCCATGGCCAGGAGGAAGAGGAGGCTGAGGGGCAGGGACAGCCAGTGTTGCCAACCCTGGAAATTGGAGAAGCAGATGAGGAGGAATTCAGAGACTGGGGCAGTGGAGTCATTGCTGGGTGATGCCATGTAAAGTTTCCTGATCAATCTAGAGACCCAGAGTACCTTAAAATGTAGGAGAGAAGTACAGAAACATAAAAATTATATGTTCTAGATGTAGTAGAGTTTGGGTTTCCCCGAGACCCTTTATCTGTTCTAATAAAGTTTTTAAAATCACGATCATCATCTCCCCTTATATTTAAGCGAGTATGTATCATATGCCAGCCATAATGTTTTATATTCATTATCTCATTTCATCCTTTTAAAAAATACTAAAGTATAATTCATATTGTTATCCTGATGTTTTAGGAATAAAACAGAGATAAAGGAAAATTTTAGGAAGAACCTTCTACCACCACACAGTTTAAAAACCAGGAATTACAAATATCGTTTATTGTCATGCATTTATATGATTTCAGTACACTTTACTAATTTTTACTTTATAATAATTTTTATTCATTCATTCATTTCCAACCCACTTATTCCAGTTCAGGGTTACAGGTGGTCCAAGCTTATCCCAGCAGCTTTGGGTCAGTTTCCAAAAGCTCAGGGAACCAATCCCAGACAGGACGTCATTGCATTACAGGGAGCACTCACACACACAACCACTCAGTCACACCGGGACAATTTAGACTTAAGCTGTACGTCTTTGGGATGTAGAAGGAAACTGGAGTACCCGGAGGAAACCCAGGCAGACGTGGAGAGAACATGCAAACTCCACACAGACAGTGGCCCTTGCCTGAAATCAGTGTGTTTTCCTTAATGTTATAATGACACAACGTTGTGTGAAATGACGTTACATGAGAACCTGCTCTCATCAAATGAGCTGAAGTTCACCAAAGATGAAATAAAAGTCAGGGAGTGAATTTTAGGCCAGTAAATCTTTGCAGGAACCCACTTACCTGGTAAGTAAAATTACATGTTCTTCCTTGTGACCAGGATCCAATTATCCTTAGCATATGTAATCAACATTCTGTAAACTCATCTGCTTTGATTCCAGCTGTTTCTTTTGTGGGTATCATTTGTTTTCCCTGACTACTAAATGAAGAGAGAGACCAAGTACTAAGAAGGGTAACAGCAATGGCTGTCACTACCAAAGAGACAGAAAGTAGCCAAGGAGTCATGACAGGGTAAGAGAGAGCCCAGGAAGCGTGTAATCAGCATAGCTACAATGACTGATCCTTCACCTGTAAAGCCTTCTCCTTTCCAGTAATCTCAAGTATAGCTACTCTGAATGGCTTGATCTATTCAAACAAGTGAGAAAATAGTGTTTTCTTAGTTCCTGGACAGAATGCTAAAGTAGTAGTACATAGCATAAACAAAAACCATTATCTTCTGAGAGTTTACCTAACTAATAGAGAAAACTGACTTGCAAACATTTATAATGCAATACAGCTGTGGCTCTAATAATGACAATCATAAAATAGTGGGAAAGAGGCAGTATTTCAGATGAACGAAGCATTGTAATATGGTTTCAATGTTAGCCTCGAGCAGAAACAAATGACAGTTCTGGCTCTTACACTGATCATGTAAACCTAAAAGCTATTTCAACTCCATAGTGCCCAGGTTTCTCACAAATGAAATAGAATAAGTGGCACTTAACTTAAGGTGTTACTGTGGGAAGGGAAAGGGACTGTCACATCCTCAAGTTCTGTTAAGCCAAAAGATGCAACAAGCTAAGAGCATCAAAGGACAGAAAAAAAAAAAGGTAACTTTTCCTGGGGGAGAATAAAGACTGTTCTTTTAGGCAAAGGTAAGAACAAAAAGCCTGCCTCCATGGATGTTAAGTAATGAGGCATTAGGAGCTACTGAATCTTAAGTTCTTTGGGGGAAAGGGAGGCGGGAGAGTAGAGTATTAGAAGATGATGTTTAAAGAGAAGCAGTGGCAGCCTTGAGACGATCCTTAGAGGTCTGTCTGATAGTAGGCATTGTCACGTACACTGTAGGGAATTATAGAACATTTGAACAGGGATGTGATATGCGATAGATGGTATCTTAGACCACTTTAGCTGCTAAAACAAAATATCATAAACTGGGTGGCCTATAAGCAACAAGCATTCAAATCTCATAGTTCTGGAAGCTAAGAAGTATAAGATCAAAGTGCCAGCAGATTCGGTGTCTGGCTAGACACTGAATCGTTTCTTAGTTCAGAGGTGGCACCTTCTCCTTATGTCCTGACATGGTGGAAGAGGCTAGCTGCTCTCTACCATCTCTTTTATACAGGTACCAATCTATGAGCCCTCATAACCTAATTATCTCACAAAGTTTCCCCTTCTAATATCATCACCTTGGAGGTGGGAGGGAGGTTAGGATTTCAACATACAAATTTTCTGAGGACACAAACATTGAGACCGTAACAGATAGGTCAAAGTGAATCACAGAAGGTAGGGAGCCTTTCTGGAGAGTTCTGAGTAGTTCAAAGGAAAAGTCATTAAGGTCCGAACAAAAGTAATAAGCACATAATTGGAGAAGAAAGGATAATTTTGAGGGGTGAGGAGGGCTACAAGAAAAGTTAGTGGAAGAAAGATTAAGGAGACAGAGAAAGGCTGGAGTCAAGAATGCCTCCCAGATTTTTTAACAAACACGAGAAGATATATATTCTTTTTGAACTTCCTGTAACACTGATAGATTCTTCCAGGTAATAATATACTTTCAGCTTTACTTCCTAGTTCTCTTGTAATTCCTTAATAGCTAGAACCATTTTTCTTCCCTCTGAATTTTCCTCAGTGAACCTGAGACCTCCTAATCTGAGAAATGAAGAATTATTGGGGCACTGTTTGGATCTTCAGTACTCCAGCTCCATCAGTTCATACTCACAGACTGATACTCGCCAAGGAGTGGTCATTGTGCTTCCTCATTTGAGGTGTCAATTAACAAAACATGGTCTCTTACCATAAGTCGTTGGAAGTCTGGAAAAGTCAGACAGACTTTGAACTAACAAAAATGGTAATGGAAGATTTGAGCCCAGCTATGATTGCCTAAAAGAAGGAGCAGTCACCTAGGCTCATAGATGAATTTAGACTAGGAAAGAAAAGATGACTATGACCTAGGTAGGCACAGAGCTTTGGCCTCATAGCTATGATACAGTTTGGGATCTTTGAGCCTACAGAAGTTTTGAGGCTACAAGCCATAAAATGACCTAGCCTCAGTTCTGAGGGACATCACAGCTGCAGGTTGCTAACACTTGTACCAGAACCCAAGTACTGTGGCACGGTTGCCATCTACTACACCAGGCCATATTAAAAGAGTTCTATCTCCTCTTCACACCAGGCTTCTGGATTCCCCCTCCACTCCTCAGCATCCTCTTCCTCATAATTTCTTTGGCCCCACCTTGAGACTCACCAGCTTCAGAAGGCTGTATTGCTGCTATTTCTGCTGTTCTCTACAGGAGTGGTGGAGGCTGATTTTATGGACCCTGACTCCAGTAATCTCTTCCCTCCACACTACTCACAAGAGTTAGTGCCATTATTAGACACCAGGCTCCTGGGGCCCTGTGGTCCATGCCCAGGAGAGTATGTTGTGAACAGTGTTTGGCATTGGGAGTAGTATGAGGGTGAAAAGTTCAAAGGCACTTGGGAAGTCAAATTAAAGAAAATGACACTTACCTAGGTAAAATAAGAAAAAAAAATATTGCATAATCTCACCTTATGTGTGAAATCTTAAAAAGTCATATTCACAGAAGCAAAGAGTAGATTGGTGGTTACCAAGGGGCGTGGATGGCAGGAAATAGATGTTTGTCAAAGGGTATAAAGTTTCTGTTATCCCAGCACTTTGGGAGGCTGAGGCGGGTGGATCACAAGGTCAAGAGATAGAGACCATCCTGGTCAACATGGTGAAACCCCGTCTCTACTAAATATACAAAAAATTAGCTGGGCACGGTGGTGCATGCCTGTAATTCCAGCTACTCGGGAGGCTGAGGCAGGAGAATTGCCTGAACCCAGGAGGCAGAGGTTGCAGTGAGCCAAGATCGCGCCATTGCACTCCAGCCTGGGTAACAAGAGCAAAACTACATCTCAAAAAAAAAAGTTTCTGTTAAAAGTACGAATAAGTCCTAGAGATCTAACATGAAGTGTGGGAATGGTAATATATTTTATCATATGCTTACAATTTGCTAAGACAGTAGACCTTAAGAGTTCCCACCACAAAAAAGGGAACCATCTGAAGCAATGGGTGTGTTAATTAGTGTAACTGTAGCATCTGGTGTGATACAGTGTACATGCTTATCAAAACATCACTTTTAACTTCTTAAATACATATAATTTTATTTTAAAAATAAGAAAGGAAAGACAAGAAGAAAGGAGGAAAGAGAAAGAAAACAAAAAAAGAAATCCTAGGAAGAAAAAATGTAAAGAAACTGAGAGATGGGAATTCTTTCAGGATAATTTCTCTGTTTACACCAGTAAGGAAGAAAGTGAATCAGACTATCCTCAGCACTATAACTCTAGAGGGAAGTACTAGAGGAACACTACCACCAATGAAAGGAGCATGGACCAGGGACAATAGAGGGGAGCAGAGAGTGCTTTTTCTGTGAACCTTTCTCATGCGGCAGGAGCATCAGTGGTCTGGACCCTGCAAATCCCTGGGAGTGGCCCTCTTCATGCTCATAGTGCCATGTCCAGGATTTTATCTTCATGGCTGTTCTTTGTCTAAACTTTTTGTTTCCTAAGTATGGTTTCAGACAATGCAGTTATTAACAAACTCACTTTCCATAGAGCAATGCCTGGCTCTATGGAAGGTCAACAAACAAATGGAATGGTCACTCGAACAGTCACCACTCTAAACCAATGCACAATAGGACCTAGAATATAGCTTTCCTGAAGAATATTCAGAATGATGTGGGCTTTGGGCACAAGAATGTTGGAGAGAGAAGAACAAGTAAAGTATTTTCCTAGAACTCACAGTTTACTCCCCATAACCACTGAAAAGGAGAGATTAGGGCAGAAATGTAGATGGAATATAATCCCATGCCTTACATACAGTAACTCTGGCCCCATCTCTACCTTGCTATGTGGATGTTCTAGATAAAGCACCAGGGGCAATGGAAACATCAAATATAGTTAGTAGACATGTTAAATAAAGAAAACTATTTTATGAGTGAATAATTGCTCAAGGAAATATATGCTACTAAGGGCATGCAGTTTAAACTGTGCAAAATATTCTTTTTTTTTTAATTTTTTATTGGATTTTAGGTTTTGGGGTACATGAGCAGAGCATGCAAGACAGTTGC